GGTTCTTCACCCAGAGGGTGATTGGGCACTGGAACAGCTCCCCAGGGCAGTGGTCACAGCACCAGCCTGACAGAGTTCAGGGAATGCCTGGACAGTGCTCTTAGGCACATGGTGTGACTCTTGGGGATGATTCTGTGCAGAGTCAGGAGTCAGACCAGGTGATCCTTGTGGGATATTCTGTATGTACTTAAATACTAATTTTGATTTAAAATAATGCAAGACTAACTATAGAGACATAGCTTTTCATTATGTTATTTAAGCCCCCTATTTGCATTTATATTGCTTCACATGATGGGAAGTGTTTACATAGTATTTGAAAATTTTGGATTGATGAACAAGTAAACATACCTATGGGGTTTGAACAAAATGCTTCCTATTTTTGAGCAAAATGCTTCCTCTTCAAGACTTAGGAGGAAAAAGAGATTTCATTGTAACATACTCCTTAAAATTTATGGAATATTAAACAGAGAACTAAATGAGCTTGAAACAATCCAGGCTCTACCTAATAATAAATCAAGGCTTATGGTATTCTGGCTATAGTAGAGTGCTTTCAAACTGGCTTTAAAGTTGAAGTTTTAAAAAAATTCGAGAAAGCTATTGAATTGCAGCTTTTATATTTTGTTCCTTAAACTAGAATAGCTAACATCTAAATGAGTGTGGATCCTGGGTAGAATTTAGTAGTTTAAGACTTATTAGATATAATAGGGCACTGAAGTTTTTGACCTGGAACATACAATCCAAGTTGAGTCCACTGGTGATGTGGTGATGCTCCAAGAGCACGGAGCAGGTTTTTTGTGAACGTTGTCTTAATTCTCCTCCTTCTGGCTTCAGTTAGTTGAGTCACAGTCATTTTTCTGTAATGACATTAGGCTGCTGGAGTATTTGAATTTTTCACTTGTACTGTATTATGTATAGTTCAGAAATGGTGAACCTTCAAAGGTGAATCTGCTTCTCAAAATGCACTTATGTGGGCTTTAGTCACTTCACCCTGGTGCAGGAACTGTGCTTACTCAGAGGTGGGACGGATGGAGTTTGATAAAAATTTATTCTATGTAAGAGCACTAGTTTTTCGTATTTGCATCCATGCTGATTCAGCAGGGAATTAATGATTTGGTACTCAGCTGTTTTCATCTGTTTTGATGAGTTTACTGGAAACACTCCAAGGAAACAATCAACCCTTGCTTGTGTTGGGGAAGAGATGTGAGAACCAAATATGGAGACCACAGTGAAGAAATAGGAAGGAATGGCTTCGGTGGCGCCAAAGTGGGAACAAAGAAGGCTGCAAAAAAATGGAAACACAGGGTTGGTAGAGAGGCAAAAAAAAGGGAAATACTTTGGTTAAAGAAGGATGGTAAGAATTGAGGGGAAATTGGCCAAATCCACAATGTCATCTCTGATTAACACCAGCATTTGAGAGTAAAGCCTGGTATTAGCATTTTGGGGAGAATTTCCAGTGCACAGAGTAACATTTTTGAGCCAGGTGATAAAATTATATTCGAAGGCTCATAAGAAGTAAAACTAGAGTTTTATCAAAGACATTGGCCTTGCTTGTCATACGTAGCCATGACTGTCTGTAATCCAGTCAGCTACTTTTCTTAATCTATACCTGGGGTAGTATTTTCCATGGAGCACTGAGCAACATTCATGTTCACTCATGAAGGATTTTGCCTTCCCTGTATGTTCAGGCAAACATGAGGCGACTTGCACAGGATACCCTGCTGTTACTGGTTTGCTTCTTTATTTGTTGAGAGAGCTTGTGTACCTTTGTCAAAATAATTTGAATCATTGCTTCAATGATTCCAAAGTCATGTTATGTGCAAATACTTTTTAACATGCTGCATGCATTAAGTATTCATACTTTAAGACATCACCTGAAGATTGTCACAAAGTATTCGCATATAGTGCTGTAATGTTGTTGAGAGTTTAGGTGGTTTATTCAAAACCTCTGAATGAATCAATTTTAGAGAAAAAATGTCAAGAGTATCTGTGGACCAGAGGCTGATTTAGCTTTTGCAGACCCTTTCTTCTCTCCATCTGCTCCTTCCTCATATTTGACATGCAAGTCTGTTGCTCCATTAGCAAAGAGATGAATTTCAAAAGTATGTTTCCAAATATGTTTCATTTGACATTTTGAGAAAAATGTATACTGTCATACAGCTTCATAGGACATACTGGTATCTTCAGAAAAAGAAGTTACACAAAAGTTGCAACTTTCTTGACTGCCTTTCTGGTTTGATTTCTAGATGCAGTGACAAACAGTGAAAAGTTGGCACATCAAAGGCAGAAGCCGTGTTAGGGTGGCATATGAGGTTGGCAGATAAGGTGAAGAAGGCTATGCCATGTAAGGAAATAATAGGAATAAAATTAATTCCTTGATCAGGAGAAGCCTGAATGCATAGGTGCACCCTCCACTGTACAGCTGACAGCTCACATCAGGCTCAGTGTAGAAGGACAAAGTACCAAGGATGGGCTGATGTCTACCTCTATGTAGGCAGCAGACAGATCAGGAGAGATCAGGAAGATCTGAGGGAAAGAGGAGTTGAAATCTGTGGTGGTGGTGGAAGGAAAAGGAGTAAAGACCTGCAAGGAGATGGCAGGGCTCTAGGGGTGAAGCCCCCCAAAATGGTCTCTGCTATGACATTTTTAGTGAGCTGAAGGACATTTCTCAAAGCCTAGGAGATGGGAAAGATGGCATTTGGTGCCATGGGGATCTGGATCAGAGATTTAGTTTTAACCTTCACAATTGCATTAAAAAATATCCTGATCATATTGGTACTCTTTGTGGAAAAAAAAAGAACAGAATAAACGGAATCAGTTCTTTTCAGAGACCACCATAAGTAATGATGATATCCATGACTGTATTTTACACTTGTGTTTATTCTCTGATTACAGAGACTGCTCCACAGCATGAACTCCTTTCTTCAAACCTCAAGATCTTACTTTTGTACCCAAAGGATTTCTTCCATGGAGAAAATAAATTCTTCTTAATCACCACTGAGGCTTCTCCATACCATTATTTTTATTCTTGTTGTTTATTTTTATTTATAGGCACTCATCAGCATAATGTGCCATTGCCTACAGCAGCAGGATTTATTAGATACCTTAGGATTTTTTTCTTATTTGCCTGTATATCATTCATAGCATTTTATATTCCTTTTTCCATTTGCTAGCATTTTGGCAAAGCATTACTGATATACTATCATAATTGTCCTCCCTGAGAAGAGATAAGCTGAAGCATCAATAATTGATGAAAGAAATATCCATTTCACAAAATTTTAATAAGAATGAAAAAAGTTAAATGCATATGGACAGACATAGCTGCACATACTTTTACTCCATCACACAGAGCTTGCTAAAGACATGGTATCAGATGACTGTGCAAACTTCAGAAGGCTGTGACAATAGTCAGTTTTTACAACCACTGTTAAAATGATGCTTCTAGAATGAGATGTTCAACTGCTACACAGTTCACACAGCTAGATCATGTGGCAGGTTAGAAAAAGGCATTAATTGTGTGATGAATTATGGATGAATAAATTGCATATGTAAAATTGAAGTTATCCTGTATTCCATGATTCACTCTCTATTTCTGAGATGTAGAACTAAATTCTTTTGAACAGAGTCACACGTGTGCCAGCACAGGGCATTTTTTTTTTATCTTCAGCCTTCATTTTCCTTGCCCCAAAACTGGCAGAAAATTTGGAGCTGATACTTGCATTACCTGTATTGTCTGCACAACCTTAAGTGTGTAGGGCCTGAGGCATGGGGGTTGTGCTGCCCCACCAATGAAAATACCAAGTACTGACTCAGACACTATTGCTTGGAACTTCTCCTCAGTGCCACTCATGGAAGCTCTTAAGGTTTCTGGACTGAAGGAGCCCTACTGTGTACTGTTCCTCTTTTGCCACTCAGGAGGACTGGAGAGTCTGGCCCAGATTTTAAGACTCCAGATGATCAGAACTTTTTTCTTTATTACTGAAAATGGCATCACACTTCTCTGTACTTGGAAATTTATGTGGGGTTCTGATGATTTTTGTATGGAAGTTCGCTGTCATATGGCTGACCAGGGACCTGTTTTGTTCCTGTCAGGGTGATGCCTAGTCCTTGACTGAGTATGGGTTACTGCCAACACAAACATTGACCTTCCTGTAGTTGCAGTTGCTATTAAATTAAGCAAACTAGTATTAATACTAAACCAAAATATCCACAAAGAAATTGCTGTCAAGTTTCTGTCAACACGACTTTGACTTTGTTAGAATGATAAATATTCTTTATGCTAAACACTGGTCACTGTGTCTGGAATAGGACAGTGAAAGGGAAGAGTCCCTCCTATTTCCTCAATTCAGCTGCATTTTTCCTATGCCTTAAGTTCATTGGTTTTAAGATCAATCACTCAGACAGAAAATCCCTGCAGTTAAAAACAGCCATGATTGGAAAACTCTGCAAATGACTTTGGAAGGAAAACTTCAGGAGATAAGTTGTAAATAATCTCTGTGATTGTAAAATGCAGAGTTCAACACATCAAAACCGTTCTTACTATTTTAGCAAACTTCACAGGCACTGTTTTTACCTTATTTTAGATCCCAGGGAAAAAAAAAAAAAGCTAGCCAGTTTAATTTAATTTCCTACTGTAGGAGATAGAGGACCCGTCCCTTCTTATCTCCCTCCATTTCCAGCAATTCAGAGGTTTCACTGAACTACACCATCCTTTAAAATGTAGTTGTTTCAGAGGGAGAAGAAAATGGTGGAGTTTGCCAAGTACCATTTTGTACTGGATGTTTGGTAGTATGATGATAATCCTGTTTGTAAAAGTATTTAAGTACTTGACTAATTTTAGGCAGCTGAATAGTACCATTTCTTTTTTAAGATTATCACATGCTTAAAAATAATTACATTATCTTTTTTAGATATGTATGGGTTTGGAGATTTACATACACCCACATTCTACTCATCGATGTCAAGTCTTCAGAAAGAATTTATGTTTCTGTTTTTCCCTCTAGATGGACACCCATGGAAACATTCTGCTAACATCGCTTGAAATTCACAACGAAGTGGCAAGCAACGAGGTCACCACCAGCGTTACAGAAGCCCGAAATTCAACTATATCCTTTGACAACTCAGGAATCCAGTACAGAAAACAAAGCTCACATCGTGAAAGCCTCGGAAGGCGCTCGTCAGAAAGAACAGGCACCCATAGCAAGAGGGGCCATTTACGAAGAAGGTCTTCACAATTGAAAATAAAAATCCCCGATCTAACAGATGTGAATGCCATCGACAGATGGTCAAGAATGGTGTTTCCATTCACATTTTCTCTTTTCAACTTAATTTACTGGCTATACTATGTTAACTGAGTGACTTAGTTTTTTTAAAGGACTTCAACTATAACAAGTGAAGTACTACTTGCCTGCAGAGTTTATATATATATTTATATATATATATTTATATATAAAGAAATATATATATGAACTTTTACTATGTAGACCATACTCATGTATGTGTGAATACATGTAGCAAAGAACTGTGTGTACTTTAAAGCACATCTTGCAAAGCAAAAGTATATGTATGCACACACACATGAACACATTCATTCTGAGGTTATGGACACTTTAACATAGAATGCACTTCAGAGGAACTTTTTAAATTGAAAGGCAGGTGTCATCAAAGCAGCAGGCCTTGAGAAAATAAGTGTTGTATATTATCACTACAAAACTTTGATTGTCATAGAAATTTTTGAACAGCTGTAATCATGTATAAAGTCAGTATTTAGTAACATCCTTTGTAAATGCTGCCATACACACTAATCATAAAGCAGTAGAGTTACACTGGTAAGTTTAAAATAAGTTATTTATATTGCAGATCCATCAGCTACCATTTCATTAAGCCAAAATTATTTTTCTTTGCTAAAATTTCTGAGGTTTATATATGTCATAATACATCTTTTCCCAAGTCTGGATGAGCATAGTTTTTAATGATCTCTTGCTTTCTCTTCTGCAGTAAACAAGCTGATCATGGGAGTGTTGTAGGTCTTTGGAGACATATACAGGTTTATAATATTTCAAACAAGCATCTTAAGTGTCCATCAACAGTGACATGAATCTTTTGTAAGTACTGTAAATGTACAGCACATTTTCCTTCCCTTGGACTGGTTCCAGCTGCCATGTCATTTTGAAAGAGAACAGCACATTTTTAGTATAATTTAGCTGAGAATTCAACTACTGTCAATGTGTTCTACATCTGCTGTAGATTTGAAGATTGTTATTCCAGTGAAAGCATAGAAGATGTCTCAGGTTATTTGTTACTTCAACATGAAATCACCTAGCTGTAGCCTTTTTTAAACATACATTCATATTATTTAACATTCTTATAACATTGTATGTTAATGTAAAATATATTTGCATAATATGCATATATTTTCTCAATATTTTTCTTTCCTGTGCTTGCTATTGTGACCGCATGTTATGTCATATTTTTGTTTCTGTGATGTTATAACTTTTTATTCTCTAGAGTCGAGCAAATAGAGCACTTCCAATACTTTGATTCAGTAATGGACCATTTTCATATTTTATTTATATACTGAAAGTGTACACCTACACTTACCAAGGTAGTGTGCTGCCATCACACATCACAAGAGTATGTTTTGTTTCAGCATTAACTGTGTTCTAACATACCCTTCATGCAAATGTGACCATTTTGGGTTTGATCCCAGTTCGTTCCCTCACTGGGATTCCAACTTTTTTCAGTCTAGTAGATTGTAGTCATCAAGGTATGCCAATATCAGATCTGTAAACCTAATTTGTTATTTATCAGAACTAAATATTTCTAAAGAAAAGAAGATATATTTTTTGTAAAGTGTTTCTATCATGTACATTCTCAAATAACAAATACAGTAGCATAAATAGATCTAAAAAAAAAACAGAATTCAGGCTTAGCTCTGACAGTTCTCTGCATGTGAAATTCCTGTGGATATCAATGGGATTTTTTGACAGAGAGCTTTGGATGCTAGTTGGAGACTTCTATGGGCAAAAATATGTGTGGACATGCATTTAGCAAAACCACCAAATACGAATGAAAGTGAAAAGGCCACCTTGGCTCTGTAATGACCACCCCCTGTTCTCGCTGGTACTCGATTTACCTGTGAGTAGAGCACTGGCACTTGGGTTGCCGCCGTGTACGGCACATTACTGTTCCCACCCCTGTCTGCAGCTGAACTGTGAAACTTTGCTCTGGACTGAGATTCCAGCGCAGGTGAGCCTGGTTTGCAGAGGTGTCTCGGTTCTGTGCTCGGGGCTGCTCCTGGAGCTGGGCACAGTGGCCTTGCAGTGTGGCTGCAGTGCCATTCCCAGCCAGGAATGCTCGCCGGAACCCGGCTGCTGCCCTGGGCACCATCAGCGCCGCAGTCCCGCTGCATCCTTGGCTGTGGTACAAAGTGGCTGGAGCTGCCATTTAAGCGCTGTATCTGCAAACAACTACACAGCCTCAGAGGAACCCGTACAGCTGGAGCAGAAAAACTTGGTGTTTAAAAGCTCCTCAGTATTAAGTCCCATTGGTAAACCGCAATGTATTGTGAGTGCTCTAATATCTCTTCAAACTGTGTAGGGATTACAGAGCACATTGTCATCTTTATAATCAAAGTAACTAACAATTAACACCCTCCCAAAGTGCATATTAGATAGAATTGTTGAAAACCTCTCCTAAGTTTTTATCTTAATAGCAAAATATGTTTAAACAAAACTATGATTTTAATAAAAATTATGAATGGTAGTCTTTGCTTTAGAAAAAATTCCCCACTGAAGTTATCTCCAAGCGAGTCTTCCTGTAAGTGCCCTAAAGAACTACCCTAAGAAGTCGGATTTGAGAATGGTCCTGCCCTCATGATTTAACCACAGCATTCTTTTCTTCAAGCCCCACCTCCTAGAAATCACATGGCCAGGCAGAAACCGTCAATAAGAAGCGACTTTTTAGTTGTGATAGAAATGTGTTTTCCAAATCCCACTGGAATCAGTTCTTCAGTGGCTTCAACCAGAATTTCCAAGAAGGCAGAAAATTATTCTCTGTCCAGAGTAAAGAGGCAATGTGGATTTTTCAGGGCCCTGCATGTGCAAGAGGACTGAGTGTCTGAGGACTCTCTCCCTCTCTTACCCTTTGCACTACTGGAGGGCAGCATTTTACTGCAGCCCCCTTCAGGGAACTGTGCTCCTCATCTTGCTTGTCCTTGCAAAAAGGAGGCAGCTGCACGTTTGAGCTTTTTCAAATGATTTCACATTCATTGGTTTAGTCACAAACAGCTTTAACCTTGGACAGATCCAAGTCTTGCTTTGACTTGAAAAAAGCCAGGAAAATCTCACTTAAGGTTAGCACTTCATTTTACACTAACATTTTTTGTGCCTTTTTTTGCCAATTCTGTTCCTGCAGTCCCAGCACGACTTCTTACACACAAAACCAAACACATACAACCATGTGTTAAGAACAGTGTTTGCCTTGACCTCCCATTTTCTGGCTCTTGACCTTGTGCACTAGCTGCAGTATATTATTTTAACCATAGATTGCTTTAAGACTAAAAATGGTAATTTCAATTAAATCACACCAGAGTAATGTATTTCATAGCTAATTAACTCCTTTGTAACTCACTACTATAAATAACATTTACACGTAATCTGTTTGTAAAAGGCATTAAAAAAAGGAAAACCAGAACTATCTTCTGTTATAGCTGAAAAAGTCAATAAACAGTAGAAATATTATGGTGGTTTAACTCTTAAGTTGATTTCATCCCATTGTAAAGATAAACTAAAACCCAGTCCTTTTTGCTTAAGGCACAGCTATGTATTTTTGGTATTCTTCTGCAGTGAAAAAAAAAAGAATAGTAAAATGGAATGATGAAGAGATGCTTTATGAAAATATTGATGAATGAATATTAATTTATTAAAAAGGATTTAAAAATTATTTGTGTTTTTTTTTTCTGGGGAAGGAGGGAGCATGATTAACCAAATCTGTTTAGCCAGATTTAATCTTAAATATCACGTAAGGATTAGTTTTACACATTTTACAGAAAAAGACCAAATATGGAAGCATTTTCTCAACAACACATATATAGCAGGAGAGATTCCGAAGCATTGAACAACTATATTTCCTAGTGCTTTATATAGTAGATCAAGGAAGAGGGGAAAACTACATCCACTGACTTAGCAAGATTCTTAATAGCAAACCAGTCTGTCTTCAAGCTGTGGCATTGCCACTTAAGAGTAAAAAGTTTGTTCTGTACTTTGTATGAAAAGGCCTGCTTCTACCCAGGACACAAAAGAGTTTTTTAATATCAAAACAAGACAATGCTTATTTATATGTTTCAGTAATCAAGTACTATGTTCATTAATTTTTTTTATTGTTAAATATTAGTAAGTTGTTTTAGAGGAGTCAGGATACAGAGAATTTTGTGAAAGGGGGTTTTAAAGACACCTTGATGTTAGTGCTACAGCCCCTTCCCCCAAAGCAAAAAAATACCTTGAAAATTTGGAAAGTAGGAACAAGCTGTCATATGCTTGCTTAAATCTCATAGTAGCTAACGATACATCTCACAATTTTTAAAAATAGATAAAATATTCAGCACCATAGCTGTAAGGCTCCCTCTTATTTCAGCATGTTTATGCTCACTTTCAGCAATGCTTCCCCAGTTGTAAGTAACATCTGTGATCTATTTTTTCTAGTCCAGCCTGCATTGTAGAAGGAGAGATTAACCTTGTAGCAAGCTTAGTTTTGTGATTGGGAATATTTGCTAAGAGATTCATTTCTTTGTGTATTTTGGAGACAATGTATGGATAAAGACTATTTAATTGCTTAAGTACTACTCATTATATCAAAGGAGTTCAGGTTCTAGTAGATGATGGGTTCTTTTCTCCAAATAGTTATGGTCCTGTTAGTATCAAGACTATTTCCACAGATATTGGTTTTATAGTCACAACTGTCACAACAGCAAGTGCCACCTGCTAAAAGAGGTACAGCAGTAGCTGAAAACTGAACTAAAACAGTGGGAATCTCAAGGAATCTGAACTGGTTTAGAACAAAGAAATCTCTCATAAGTGCCTTCAAACTCTCCAAATACAGGGTATGAGCTTTGCAAGAATTATTTCAGATTGTGGTTGTTTAATTTATGTGGTTCTTATGGCTTGTGAGAGCTGACTGGTGGACTCTGACATACACATTCAGAAAATCAAACCTTTTGACAGTTTACCCCGCATACAGCGTCACTTATACTTGAAAACTAAAGCTATGTGGATAGAATGTGTAATAGTACAAAAAGATAAACAACTGCACCTAAAATCAGCCAAAGTTTAAATCACTGATTAACTGAACTTAAGGTAATGCTTAAGCAAGCACAATATTTGTTTGGACAATGTCCCTTACATTCGCAACATTCACTGTGGTATGTCTTTGTCCCAGCCCTGCAGCCTAATTTAGGTTAGCAAGTTTTCTTCTCCCTGGTAACAAGAGAAAACCCAGAAAGTGGCCCCTGGGCTGGCATAGCTCCAGCAAGGCAAAGGGAGAGCACCCCGATGGGTTTTCTCTACACTGAGCTCTCCAAAAAGACTGATCCCAGCTCTGAATCCCTCCTTGGAGGCACTGATCATTCCTTTAACTCCAGAGGGAGCCTTAGGCTAACTCTGAATTATCCCCCAGCTTACCACCAGCAGTCGGGTTGTTTCAGCTGTTGCTGCTTCTGCTGCAAAAACTTGGAGATAAAGTAGCTGTTACCCCAGCTAACAGAAGGTACACTGGCAAACAGCATGTGGACTCAGGGCTAAGATACATCATGGTAATCTTTAGGTTATTCATTCTAATATTGTATTTAAATATATTTCATTTATGTTCTGGCCTTCAAGAGTTAGCACATTTGTCTCCAGATGCTGGTGCTTTTTATATGAAAGTACTTGGGACAGAGCATGGGCAGTTTTTCTAAACACTTTAAATCTGCCCAGCAGTACTATCCTGGGCATTTCCTCCATCCCTCATCCACATCACAGGTCAGAGTTTGCCTTGCCCTGCACTGGGCTAACACCCACCTACCAAGAGCCCAAA